GGTCTCAATACACCAAAAGATTGTTTCTTCAGATTTGTAATTATCGAGTCCAAACGCATTCAGTTACTCAGGATGTTTCCGAAAAGGTGATTATGGAAAAACGAGCCTTTATTGACAAGCACTAGTCCCGAAAGTTTTATTTTGAGTTGTATGATTGGCGACATCCGGTTTCGGATTTGCCTGTCACTGTGGCCAGCCACAGGACGCCTGCGCCTACAGAGTGACCATGGGTAGCTTGCGCTGAACCACCCACAGCTCCAACCACACACCCCATATCCAGTGTAAACCCGAAGGAATAAGACCGGGAGGCATGTGAATGGGAGCCAGGTTTCATCAACAGCGCCGGCCCACACTCCTTCACATGCAAATACAAGCACACTGTATTTGGGAATCAATCGCACACAAGGCGGTGGCTGGACCGTAGTCCGCTCCACACTGAGTGCGTGGAAGCACTGTTCGAGCCTAGCACGGCCACAAGGACCGTGCACCCCGTACCCTAAGGCAACAACCAACTATCTCCTAGAGCCAGTTTGGACGAGGTAGTCGGTAATAGACAGGTAAGCACCTTGTCAATATGCACATCAAGCGCAGTCACACCTGGGGTATTAAGCAACAGCCAATGACTTGAAACGACGATATCTAATAAATCGAATAATGCATATACATACGGTGACATAACTCTTCACTAAATAAGGATATGAAAGAAATTGGTTAAGAAGAAATCCGCGATAATTTCAAGACGTCAGAAAATATGTTTTAAGGAAATGCCACAAACGCGAAAATGCAATGAAAGTTAACTAAACTAGTTTAAGGGACGTGTGCAGGTTTATAGAACATAGTCCAGGTAGACATTAATATGAAATAAAAAAGCATTAGGACAAAATAGCAAACCCACCACCTGAAATAAAGAGACTCAATATGCAAGCACGCGGTAAGTAAACCGAATGCAGCGTACCTACAAACGCTGCGCCGGTTGTCTACGCCCTCAGCAGGACTGGTCGTCGTATGGGTGTTGGTCCCCGAGTGGCCTCGCTCATGGCTCACTAGGCCTGCCTTGCTCAGGCAGGCATGCGAATGGGAGCCACATTTCGTCAACGGAGCCGGCCCAAACTCCTTCAAGGTGCACAGCAGCAGCATTACTGTCCAGGTATGTAAGGAATCATGTGTACCAGACGTACACAAGGCGGTGGCTGGGCCGTAGTCTGCTCCACATTGGATGGAACCACTCTGAGCCTAGTATGGCCATGAGGACCGTGCACCCCCAAGCAACAACGCACAGTTTCAGCAAATCGAAAATTGCCTTTTAGAGTTTAAAAAACACGAGGCCATAGGTGAACAATTGGTTTCGATAATTCTCTTCAGACCATTACAATCATATTTAAGGGTAAAATAAGGAACTGAAACCGACCCATTGGCTCAAATTACATAATTCATTAACGGTTCAGCGAGAGAGGTTAAAAGTCGACCTTTGACCTGACAGGTCGATTGCACGGTACCGAGCTTGATCTGTGGCAGTCGACCTCAGCATCGTTCGTACTAGCTGGCCAGGGAAGCTGTAGGACACGGATTAAGTACTTTTGCGAGCATAAAGAAGGTTGAAACAACCGGATACAAATCGACCCGGCTGTCGCGAGCGCACGGAGGCGCAAACCTCTTGATTGATGCTAGGGACCCTGTAAATTATCCTGAAGGCACGCCTTACATCAACTTGGTGCCGTGTCGACAATACGGGCCAAAACGGCGTTGCTAATGGCCCCAGTTCCTCCTTGACGCAACCAGCGTGGACAGTGTTCGTTCACGTGTTTGGACAAGTGGCGTGCCGTTCGACCGCTATAAGTAGCGTCACAGTTTGCTGGAGCAAGTAATCGAGGTAAAGTGTGTTAGACAGGTAGGCATCTTGTCAACATACACATCAAGCTCATGATCCTTACGTTCCCAAATAAGAAGTCAAAAGCACCCGACCGCGGCCAAATGTGGCGTCAGCGCCTTAATACGTTTGGTCAAAAGCATCTGTTGGCCACGATGTTTTCGTTTCCAGCCGACTTCTGTGTGCACGAAGAGTGAACGGTGAGGTAAGCACTCAGTAGTCATGCGAAGCACGTGCCTAAGTCACCGAAGCCCGTGCAGAGAAATTATGCGTCTCAGTGGTCGGCAAAGTCTTTCCGACGTGAAAATACTTCGACGAATATGCTCATTACTAATATGATGCTGCCATCGTACACCAGCGATGCTCTGAAAGAAGCCGTGATCAAAAATAGACAGCTTCTGAACATCTTTTGCAGGAACATGACCGGTTTTGAGCCGTGGTTTCCTTGATTCACATTGAAATCTACGCGTAACATGGCGCATCAATGATCCAGTAACCGGCTCCTAGGAAATGGTAACTATGGTAATCAATCTCGGAAGCCAATCGTTGGCATCACGTTGTACAATCGAAAAGCGGAGAAGCTCAATGTGCTATCTACTAATCGTCAATGACGATGAAGCCAAATATTCCCTTAAACAAGAGGCAGATTCCTTTTGTAGAGACTCCCGCTGGCCAGAGGTTAAATGTGACCCACATAAACAGGAAAATGAAACTTCAGATCGCAAAAGTACGAAAGCAGAAATGACTTTGATGACAGAGACGTTCGGTGCAGCCAGGTTGCACGGGAGCCTGACGCTTGAGACTCTGTTAATGAAACAGGAAGAGGAGTGTGGAGCGTAAAATACAGTCTCACTCCATGACACAGAAAACGGATACAAATAACCAGCAAGCAAGATCAGACCTTGGCCAACTTAGGGATGGAGAACTGAGTGGTCCAGCCAAATCTACCGGCAAGGAGAGAGAAGCACCGCTCACCGAAAAAGCGTTCGGTCGTAATGATTTGGGAGGGGGGACTAAGTAGGTACAATAAGTCAGTTAGACACCGTTAAGTTACCGGCATCCACACACCGAGGGGTGGATCCAGTGAAAAACAGACTTGGAATATGCGTAAAGCTATGATAGAGATGGATTCTACAGAAATAGATGAAAATGTGCGGTGGCTATCTGATTGGGTTTGACTGTGACTAATCTCCATGGAGAAATGAACCCATCATATGGAGTCAGGAGCAAGGGAATTAGCACAACAACGTGTCTGAATTTATCACTGTTTCATGACAATACCAGTTCCAATCAATATTGTGGTTGGTCACAACAACCCTAACTAGGAAGACGATGTGTCAACACAAATCAGCTATTCAGTACTGGCTTCTGCTGCGTCGTTGGTTGGCCACGGGAGTTTCCACCCATCTCGGTTCACTATGAGCCAAGCATACACAGAGGCGTTTGGTCGGCAGTCACGCGAAGCACAACCGAATGAGTACATGTAGATCGAGTGCAACGAACATTCCAGTGTGGTGTCGGGAAGTACGCTCCTTTCAGTAATGTACAGCATTTCGTAAGGAGCGGTGGTCCAACACAGACAATCTCCTAATATCCTAAGGGTGCAATGGTCATGCGTCTCCTTCAGATCACAGCATCGACAGTAACTTAGCGTCACAAACCACACTCTGGACCAACAATCACATATCGCGCTAAAGATGTGGGGAAAATCTACACAAACTGTAACAATGTGTGCGGTGTCACTGGTATTGGGACCGCCGTAAGTGAAACAGTTTCATATATAAGCGAACCACGCGACCACTCTGAGCGTGTGTTCCGTGATTGTGAAAGCTGGTCATATGTTGACTCAGCCTTGCCATATTGCTTTGAGATTTAACATCCGCAAACGCCTGGCAAAGCGCGACCACGTTTTCGAAGACATTATTCCCGCAGTCAAAGAGATACATTCAATCCGCATAACCTGAAGAAAATGCCCAACAATCCGAAGGAATATACAGTGGCATGCAAAGCATAATTGTAACCCATACCGTTACTGATGCTTAACAAATAAGGCTCCAATTCTAAACGACGAGAGAAGCGAACACGATGTCACAAGCTTAGTTCAAATAAGAAGAATGTTAGCAGCGTGCACCTAGAAACATGGTGCTGTGAGTGCTACCGAAGGATGATATCGTCGATTTTGGATAACTAAACGACAAGAAAGGAGATAAACGGGTTCGCGAAAATTGAAAAAAGACGTGCAGGTGAAAATGTGGTGACCAGTGATAATCACATACCACAAAGCTGACGGAAGGGAACCTGGCTCGCGGCGCATCGACATCGGGGTTTGTAAGAATAGTCAGGAATTGAAAAAAAGTCCCAGTACTGAAAACTGGTACAGGAAAGTGCTGTCGGTGGGGGCAGCACAAGTAAAAATAGGGGGAAGTATCAAGATCGATGCACACACACCCCTTAGGCAAAGTCCGGAGGAAATCTCACCAACGTAGATAACCAAGAAAGAATCCATCAGCTTTCTATCACCGTGTAAAGTAAGAAATACCGAAATTTGGAACAAGGTGACCAAGCTGGAGAAGCAGCATGTACGTTACACGGAAACATCATAATAGGCCGAATGTGCCAAAAAGCTAATGCGGAAATTCAGGATAAATAGGCAAATTCCCTTATTCACGTCTAAATGCGTTCGCAAGATGAATGCAAATGAGTTTTAAATGTACACACGTCGGCCATCAAAGAAGACCTAGGAGGAATCGCTTCGTGCTCCTTCTTCACTTCACTTCAGCATCGTAGCTTGGCAACAGTACACGATGCCGAAGCGCCATTATGAAACATTCGTAGTTCGGACGAGTCGCAATGAGACCCATGCAAATAGAACAGCAAACCTTGTGAACGCAAACGAGAATGGAAGGAAGCTCAGTCAAACATTTAATGCCTAGGTGCTCATCAGCGGAGATAGCTGTAAATCGGATGATTTACGATGGCAAAATCGAATAGTAGTGTAAGAATTACAGATGAAATATGATGCGTATTACTTTCCAAGTGAATACGTATAAAGTAGGTGTAGAAAAAGCACCTAATTGGTAATAGAGCTACTTGGAGAGAGAATCGGGGAGTACACGCTGTGCACGCAACTCACATATGTCGCGTAGCTCGGGACTAGAGTTCAACTCCAATCCCTTGCAAACGAGTAAGGTGGCAAGATTCACACCCAAGTACTCGTTCGGATCGGATTCGAAACCCCGTCGGTAGCTTTCGACAGCCGCGTTCAATGCCTGCTGGTCTTCGCAATTCGACTCTAAAAAGCGATCCTTGTGAATACGACCCAGAAGACCGAACATGTCCGCCGAGGGCTGCTTGCATGTTTCCAAAAGCTGTAAATGTAGACATTGATAAAGGCCGCAAACAATGACTGCAAGAACTGTAGCACACCACATCATAAGAAAAAGCGCTAAGTGCCGCAAATGGAGAGATAACTGAGGAAAGAGAAAGTTAAAAACCACAGTGTGGCCAGTGCTAATAGCACAACTCACCTCTGTTATCACCTGCAAAGACTTTTCACGATCGCCCTCTTCTTTGCGACCGTTTAAAGCGTAGGCGTACAGATAGGTGAACATGCTGGACTCCATTACATCGGGTTGAATTTTTAGTGCGCGAACATCATCAATGAGTTTGACCATGGCAGAGAAGTCCTGAAAAGAGTTGTTTCAGAAGCAGAAAATGTGGGACACTGTGGTATGTAAATCGTGGATAGCAAACGCCTCGCAACCACAAAACGGACAATGAAAATAACCAAGCCACACGTGAGACAAATGAAAAGCTTGTGCATGATGAACGGTATTGATAAACCTCTAATTCGAAAGCACGTCTCCGACATAGATTGTTTCAGTGGAAAATTTGACAAGAAAATCAAGATGAAACGAGGATAGAAGAGCAATCCCCACAGACCTCATCCAGTGTAAATATTCAAACAAGTGACGCTGTGTGCTGGTGCGATTGCTGACGGAGGGAAGCAAGCAAGCATGAAGTGAGACCGAACACACTCGCCGATTAACTCTGGAGTAAGTAGTAATCAGTGACGGTGCCGAAGTGCAAGACATCATCGGACGTTTCATCGGTGGCTGTGGAGACGGATGTGTTTGATATAAACAGATAGAATGCAAAGAGTAGAAACAAACAGCAACAATCGTGAAGTGATCATCGCACAAGGCAAAGACCTTATTCACGCGACTGTGTGTATATTCCAAGTTTGTGTCCTCGAACCGACCGGTTATGTTAATTCCGGGAAAAAAGATTGATTGCAGAAGAGTAGTAGGGAGAGTTGAATGTTATAGGAAGAAATTCATCACATCTAGGCTCACTCAGACAGCCGTCACACACCCGGAAAAGCACTGTACGCGTGTTTCATCCTTTCGGGAATCGTCAGCAGTGCGCATTCCATCGGACCCTGGTTGGGCTCGAACCCGCAACTCGACTGTTGCCAGTCCGTGGTTGAGAACACTGAGCTACGGGGGACGGCAACGACCATCGTGAATGGTCTGCTGACACGGTAACAAGCAAATATGAACTATGCAGTCAAACGACCGAGGCCATTCGACCCAGAGGTTACGGTAGAGACGTCCGTATCCGTGAAATCAGTCGCCAACGAGCTGTCGAGAAATGAACAGGTTACGGCAAAGGCTTAATAAGTCGATCACCATAGCTTTTACTAACCAACGTCTGAACTCCGGACGTATTGAGCTACGTCCACAAAACAGGCATCGGAAGGGGATGGAGGCTTAACAGTGGTACATTGTACTCACGCAAATCCCAGCTGTACGGACTGGCATCTAAAGGCCTAAGTTTAGAAACCGGTAGGTACATAAAGAGTGTCAGGTTGGATAATGGGCGTTTTAATAAGTAATCAACGTTGTCGATTGTCTGGTCTATATGTAAATAATTGCATAGATAAAAATGTAAATAAATTGAGCCTGGTTGCTGTCAACCCATCCAGTTAACTGTCATTCACAGTGGGAGCGAATACAAGGAGTATTTTTTGCGGGTAAGATGTCCGACCGAAGCGAAAACATGAGCAATGTGAATCTTGCTCCGAATGGAGTAATTGTCAAGTACATACACAAAAAAGCATCCGGTAAGTTACAGGCACACACACAAAGTTGTGAACTGAAACGCTTGGAGAAAAGGAAGAAGGAAATGACTTCAGCAAGTGGAGAAAAGTGGGCCGGAAATAGTACTATATAATTCATTCATACTCAAGCAAGAACTTTGATCCAATACTGATGGTTTGTGTTGATAGTGATGTGCTAGATGTCTTAAAATAATGAACGAAATATTTTGATTATTGAATGTCAATTTCGCAAAGGAAAGTATGTGTACATTTGTGCACAAAATCTGAAAATAAACTTTGTGTGTGTGCACATATGCACACATGGTATGCGAAGGGGAAAAAGCAAGCTATGAATAGCAACTGCCACCAATAAAAACAAAGAGAAAAAGAGGGAAAGCTTCCGTCTTATCGCCCCGTAGGCAAGTCGACGATATACAGCAAGGTATAAGCTAAATGAGAACATGGAAAATAATGACCCACCTCGCATTCACGATATGATAAAAGCATATTGAGCAATATGTCCGGTGACAGCAATTCCGAGTCATCTAATCGACGACGCATAATTCGTAGGCGCTAGGAGGGAAAAGGAAGAATACAATGACAATAGCCCTGCAGAGGTTCACCGAGGAACGCATGAAAATTTCACCTCAAAAATCAGCGGTATGGAGATACCTTCCAGCGAACGGCCACGAGCAAGTTGAAACCGTGGAAGATTAACGGCCAAAACATAACAACGGCAACACAGAAGAAATACCGCTAAGAGGAGGAAGCGATGGCTACAACATAATGAGATGTAGTTTTGTTCCCAGATCATTACCATCAGCGATAAGCTAAAGCAATGAATCAGTGATCTGTAACCACAGAATCATAAAGCGAAGGGCGGTCTGGTGAAAAAATACAAAAAAGTGGGTTGCATTGAGGCTATACGTAGGACTAAAGTAAATCCATAAGTTTTCGGTGTTCAGACATTGAATCCCGGCCAGCGCCGCAAGTCATAAACAACTGGCTATCGTGTGATGATGAACGAACATCGGCGAAGTACCTATTTTTCCGATCTAATGGCATCACGCCAACCGACCTCATCCGTAGATAATCCTGCATCTATTGCCGAGGCCATATACCTTCGCTATTTGAACCATGCCTCATACAGAATTCAATCAACTAGGGGACTGCATCAAACACGCCGCTGGTGACGGTTTTGCACCATTGTCTACATATTTTCTCGAGTTGAGCACAAGGTGATTTGGCAGGTCCTGAAATGTAAGCAAAACGGAAACACACCACCCAGTTTGGCAGGCATCGATTCCATTTGCTACTGTCCAGACTAACGGACCTAGAGTCGAAAGTAGACCCATAGCAGGCGGACAAAAAGAAGCGCTTCCCGGTGAGCGGTCAGCGACCCGATGTCATGACAGCTCCGCCGAACCAAAGTAACTATCTCAGTCTTATTCATAAATCCGACGTACCAGCTGGTACTCACCGCCTGGCGGTCCCCACATGGTCGCGGCCGCGCTGAAGTCACGTGACCTCCGTTGCAACGACGATCAAAAACAGAACGAGAAGAGGTGCATTGTCAGAGAAGGTAACGAAACTCGTTCTGTTATCCTCTACACACCACCTTCAGTACAGAAGGAACTGTTCTATTGTCAAAGGAGCCACAATCTCATGAAAGCAATTCTAATTTTTAAAACACGACATCAGTAAGGTTGTACTGAGGCTGGACTGCCGAACAACCTTCCCATGGTGCCAGCTGGGTGGTTCGGATTTCTCCCGTTCCAGTAAATGGTTCGGCCGCAGTGTACCAGGACCTATTGGGTTTTCACCCGGCAACCGTTTTCCCTATAAAATGCCACACATGTGCGCTTAACTACACTGCGACGTGTTGGATGTGACTCGCCACTAAATAAAGTCACCTTGGTGGGGCAGTGTAATCCAGCAAGTGTGCTGATGTCATGCGGAGGATTGGGCCCCTGTTTGGTAACCGACCGAATAAAAGACGAATGAACTGGGCAGTCAGTCACCGGCTCCTAATGGGCGAGATTACCTGAATTCGCTTCGCTGCCTTGCGGGCAGGCTAGTTAGCCAAAGGCTTGGGGTAGTTTCCCCTAAGAAGAGGTAGTAAACCGCCCAGCAACATTACATCACGCACAAGGATCCGAGGGCTGGGCCATGTGTTGCGCATGCCAGTACACCGATTCTCCCGACGTGTATTGTTTGCGCGCCGGGGGTGCGATTGGAAGAGGAAGAGGAGAGGCCAATCAATGACTTGGTCGAGAGGAAGGAAAATCTGCATTTAGAAGTGGGCGTCCGTTGGTGCATCCCGAATGCCTAGCTGAGGTCCTAAGGACGATGAACGCGTTTGGTTGGACACACTTGCTGATATGGCGAAGAGCCAGACACAGTGACGTTTGCGTTGTGTTTCATTGTTCATCCCCTCCAATTCCGATCTCCTACGAATTGCATCATATAATATTTGATATTATAGTACCGCTTCGAAAGTTTGTAGTGTAACGTTTTTGTATCTTACCTTGTTTGCGGCACATTAGCGGGGGGGGGGTTTCTCACCTTCAACTAAGATGTTGTGACGATGATGATTCCTTACTTCGGCTCGGGCAGCCGGTAAGATTCACACCCAGTGACAAAAGCATGGACTCCCCTGTGTTGTGTTTCCTTTTTACGACAACTGTACCTTCCTTTGAGTTCCCTGGTTTTTGATGGCTCCGCGTCTGCTCGTGGACGGTCGCATAATATATATATATATATATATATATATATATATATATATATATATATATATATGCCCCATGGTGAGGCTGATATTGCAATCTTGATGCGTCTTCACCGCAGTTGGGCAAAACCAACATAAACATAAACTACGACTTTTTAAGCTGGATAAATTGCATTAAGCTTTATTTGGTTTGTTCTGCCTATCTGAATAATCTTATATTAACTGGCCACGTTGCTTACGCTAATTTCTCTTATCTTCGGTAACTTTGTTGAGTTGGTAGCATTTTTAAGTAACTTGTGGACATGTTTTGCTTATCGCGGATTCGTTGCTAACCAACTTACTTCATATGCTAATTTAGCGAAGAGTTATGCCACCGTAGCCGTATGCGTTATTGGATTTATTTTATTTCATCTCGTCGTTTCAAGTGATTGGCTGTTGCTTGATATCCCCGGTGTGGCTGCGCTTGATGTGCATGTTGACAAGGTGCCTACCTGTCTAGTACCCACTACCTCGTCCATACTGGTTCCAGGAGACAGTTGGTCGTTGCAGAAGGGGACGATATATATATATATATATATATATATATATATATATATAATACATATATATATATATGACTGTAGTAAAATAGCTGCTGAAATATGTAGCAAGATCGAATGTGCCGGTGCTATATCGGCAGACGTAAAAAGCCTGGAATGAAAATGGTATTCCTACTAATACACCTTGCATCTTAAAGAAGCAAAGCGAGTCAAAAGATGGAGTCACTCGGAGGAGTCTACCTATAGTTGACTGTACCACACAGTGTTTATCGAACGACAAGAAGACATTGTCCGCATTCTCCAGAGTAGCAGGTTCCCCTGCAAGTATTATTTCAATAATTGTGTATGGAGACTTCACCAAAGTGAGCACCTGAAGATAAAATATGTGATAAAAAAGCAGAAGTGAGACAACTGCAGCGAACTCCACTTAGTTCTTGACGCAACCTAAAGTACTAATGTACGGCACGCCAAACGCTCATACACTTCATGGTAACACTCTCCCCAGCAAGCAAATCAAAAATAACGAAACGACCAACTGAGTAGGATGGGCTCTTGAAATTGAGGACCAAAACTATGGTGGGCCTGTGGTGTGCGTAATGCTGCTCGAGGGCTTGCTGTATTGCAGAAATACGATCTAAGCAGCCCTGCCCCCGGTTGCAAACCTATCTACACTAAGCACAAACGCGATTCCGGCGCTAAGGCGAGGTCCTGTGCTTGTTAGAAATGCTTGAATTGAGAAATAAATCCCAGAGACGACATCAGAAACAGAAAGTAGCCAAAAAGGCTGTTTTCAGGGCTTCATCACCAGGCTAATATAACCACAATCAAGCAAGCTAGAATAGATACAATGGGTTTAAACTCGGTCACTGAAGCAGAGTAACTAATCGATAAGTCTACCGGATTGATTGCTACTTACTGTTTCTGTTACAAAGGTTGCAACTGCCCCCTTTAAATTGTGACAAAGAAGTAGATTCGCCGCAGTTAATTAACTTGGACATGGTTGGCGGCATCCGGTTTCGGATTTGCCTGTCACTGTGGCCAGCCACAGGACGCCTGCGCCTACAGAGGGACTATGGATGGCTTGCGCTGCACCACCCACAGCTCCAACCACACACCCCATATCCAGTGTAAACCCGAAGGAATAAGACCGGGAGGCATGTGGATGGGAGCCACGTTTCATCAACGGAGCCGGCCCACACTCCTTCACAGGCAAACACAAGCACGCTGTGTTTGGGAATCAATCGCACACAAGGCGGTGGCTGGACCGTAGTTCGCTCCACACTGAGTGCATGGAACCACTCTTCGAGCCTAGCACGGCCACAAGGACCGTGCACCCCGTCCCCTCCAGCAACGACCAACTGTCTCCTGGAGCCAGTAGGAACGATGTAGTGGGTAATAGACAGGTAGGCACCTTGTCAACATACACATCAAGCGCAACCATACCAGGGATATCAAACAACAGCCAATCACCTGGAACGACAAGATGAAATAAAACAAATACAATAATGCATACAGATACGGTGGCATAACTCTAAGCTAAATAAGCATATGAAGTAAGTTGGTTAGCAACAAATCCGAGATAAGGAAAAAATGTCCACAAGTTAGTTAAAAATGCTACAAAACGCAACAGAGTTACCGAAGATAAGCGCAATTAATGTAAGCAAGGTGGCCAGTTAATAGAAGAGTATTCAGGTAGGCAGAACAAACCAAATAAAGTGGAATGAAATTTAGCCAGCTTAAAAAGATCTAATTTAAGTGTAAGTTGGTTTAGCCCAACTGCGGTGAAGAAGCATCAAGAATGCAACATCAGCCTCAGCATGGGGCCTCAGCATGGACATACTAGTCCATGTATACTCGTTTCAGGTATGCGGGTCAATTCAACAGAGAGAACCTCATTACCGTCCTAGAAAACGCGTTTCCTGAGAGAAGCTAAATGAGCAGCGCGGAAAGCGGTTGGCGACTATGAGCGAGTTTCGAACTGTAGATTCCGATGGAGCTCACAAATGTTCGGCTTGCAGCACTTGAGAATGAAACGGTTCAGAGACAGGTACCCAAGCAAACCGATCCCGAAAGTAATGTGCTCAAACAGCAGAACGTCGCGCCTTTACTATAAAGCTGCTCGATAGTGCACAACAATTGGAGAAAGCAGGTCCGCAGCTCCGATGAGCAAGCGCGACCAGCGTTCGCTAAACGCCTCATAGGTGCCTCCAACTGTATGCTACCCCAAACGCAATGGAAATTTGTGTTTGACTCAATATGACTGCGACGATAAAACAAAAATAATCGCTGCCGCTCAAAGTTCTGCAAAGAAGGTGAACACTACTAACATAAACGTGTTACCATGCAACACGGTAAACCCTGTGAAAGAAAGAAGATCATTAACAGGCTTTTCTGAACGGATACTCCAGAATATGAAAGAAGCCCTTAGTTGACAAGTGTGCCAGTAAATCGGGAGACAACTTTCGTGATAAACAGCAAATTGCTGACAATTGACAATGTTACACAGCTGTTTATCAAGCGTATGAGGTAGAGTCCAGTTACTACATGGTCAACAGCATCGAGTGACCCCATCAATCACATCGAAAAAGCACTTTTCCTTCTTTAACCCGCACCTACAATACCCATTAGAAGCGTTTTGTCCACCTTAGCACTGAATACTTATCTTTTGGTCCGTCGCATACTAGATGATGGTCGAATCACTGCCACACCGGTTGGCTGGACACCCAGGTCCGATTCAGTGACGCTTCAGCTTATCATGATCATAAAAGCCTTTCAGTTTTGGCTGACCTGAACATTTACCACCGATGATTGGCTGAACAGACGGGTCATTTCACAAAGTTCTCAACCCACTTCGGTGCTTAACGTCTTAGATGAGTTGTATTCTACCTGAACGCTTAGCATTCAATGGTGGGACAATTGAGGCACTAGTGGGCCGGACGCGCAGACTCTATCAATTTTCTTCAAGCATGAACACTTGCCCGATACCTAGGTAAACGCCGCCGGCGTATCAGGCCCATGATCCCAATTCTTGTTATCGTTCTAACAAATACGCACCCTTGGTGCCCTGTGTGTGCCAACGAGCCACAAAGAATGTTCGAAAATGCTTTAAAAGGTGTTTAGCGAACCATTTTTCAGTGCTCAGCCCCAACTAGCAAAACATTTTCCATGTGCCAAATCGAACGCGATGTACACTCCGTTTTCATAACTTCTAAAATGTATTGTAACAGCAGTTATAAATGTATGCTATTCTTAGTTTCACGCTTTTCCCTACTATATCCTATGGAATATAAGGTGCACAATGCGACATATATTTTCTGTCACCAAAGGATTTTCTGGACTGTAATTCGTCCCGAAATAAATAGTACATATATCACCAGTACGCCGTACCGAAAACTTCGCTGCGTGGTCTACGGATACCGTGAGGGTCCTCGGCCCCCTAGGTATCCATCGAACCCGCGACCTCCGGGTTGAAAGGCTGACGCCAAGGACCGAAGTTTCGTCGAAATGAGCAGCGTCGATGTCCGATGTAGTTTGGAGGAAGTACCTGGCTAATGTTTCGCAGTGAAGGAAACCAGATTCTTCACCAGTCGAAACCAAATCGTTCAGAATCACAATATTGAAGGAAAGCAGTGCAAAATGATCGGAACAGGCTCACTGGATTGCACCTAGCGTTGTCGAAAAACATGTTTATTTAACATGCTGAAAAGTGCTTGGAACCGATCGAGAACTCAACCAGTGATTTTTAAACCCTACTGAAATAATGTCTGTTTGCTTAATCCTATCATGTAGCGGCGGTGCTACAGCTGGAACCTACTGATTCACGATATCTTGTTTAACGGAAAGCTGAAAACTAGACAGCAATGAAGACAAAGGGCTGCATTCAAGTTCCTCATAGGAATGTTCTATTGCACGGGAAACGCCAAAAAAACGAGATATAGCATGTGATGGAAGTCGCTTCCCATTTAGAGAACGAAGCTGTAACGATCAAGGGGGCCGTAATTGAACTAACCTTTTGAAGTTCGCTTCCTTTGTATCTCTCACGATCACTTCGTAAATCGGCCAAAAATTTCTCCTTCATCGGTGCGCTAATAGAATGTTAAGAAAAGCGTAGCAACGAAAGGAGACAAAGAACGGTGTGCTTAATGTCGCGTAAACAGTAATCACAACTGGAGATGCACATAGACGACACAAGTAAATGGTTATTCAAGGGTATTTATCAGGTTTCGCAGCGGTCCGGTGGAAAGTAACAAGCCCAAAGCCCCTATCGTGCTAAAATATTCGCCATCCACATTTGCTCTTCGGAGGTCAGGTTTGAACAAGGGGAGCTGTACAATGCATATTCAGTGCTGCCAAATTCCGTCTCCTCAGGAAAACGAGAATGCCATCAACATCCCGACCCCGCCTACTCAATCATGTTCCGGCACAATAAACTGAACAAGACAATAAGAGGGCGAGTATTGCAACCTGGTACCATTACCTGTTATCTGACCACGTGAAAAATCAACCATTTCGAAGCGGGTCAGAATACAACACACGCAGACACAAAGCAACAGATCGGTGAGCCAGAAACAAAGTCCACAAACCAGCAGAAAGTGTCAGAGTGAAGGTTAAGTGCGGAAGCAACTAGTAGTAGTAGTAATAGTAATACAAATCGATATACAAATAAGTAAACTGGAGAGCAGATTCACGAGACAGATTGTTAGGATTGTGAAGAAATGCGATGAGTTCCCGCGTCAACTAACGGCCCCACCGGTCACTAGACGCACAATCAGGACAGCCCATCAGTGTGACGCTTACTAGGTGGTTACGACTTGCGACTGTGACTAATGAATTAGCAAGGAGCAACGCTGTGCAGGCAGTCGCCGTACTCAACTTTTCTACAAGTTCCTGTCATTTGTCACCAATCCGTCGGTTTGGCGCTCTGTATCCATACATGTTTGCTTGTGACTGCATTCAAAATAACGATGTTCATTTACAGATACAAACAGTTACGGGCCCAGAAGTGATCAGGAAGCGCACAGGGAAGTCATCTTGAAACATATGCCTTCGTATTGCTTTAGTCAGAAACTATAATGACGGAGTCTCGAAATAAAAGTAGCTATCAGGCGAATCGCATTGGTAGAACAGTGTCTACGCAAAAAGTGAAAGGAATCTCGTAGAGAGGGTCCAAATGGTAAAAAAATCTCAGCGAGTTAAAAAGACTGAAGACTTGACCGGAAGTATCGAGTAGAGGTCGGTGGAGGTTTTTGAGAAAGTTTGTAACACAGTTGTGAAGAGTAACGAAAATCTAATGACCAACAAAGGCGAAACAAGAAGTGGATGGGAAACAACCATCTGGAGTATACTGACTCTGTGTTAGACGCAGCATCATTATCGTCACCACTATACATTACATGAAGGTGAGAAACACACTTCAGCTAACTGTGCCGCAACCCAAAAGATGATATGTGAAGAACGACATAATGAACATTACAGAAAACTAAGAAGCAAGAAATATAATGCTGTCATATTATCTGTGCAGTGTGAGATTGTTGTTGGAGAAGGAAGCCAAGCGAGAAGGGGTGGGGACACAGAAACTTCATCGTCTTCCGTACTCCAGCATGGTAGTCGGGAAACACCAACGGACGCCAACTTCGAAGTGAGGGTTTTCATTCTTCTTGACCAAGTCATCGTTTGTCCTCCACTTCTTCTATCCAGACCCCACTTGCGCAGACAACGCATGTCGAGGGACTCGGTGTGCTGGCATACGCAACACGTGCAGCAACGATCGCAGCCTCGTGCGTAATATAACGGTGCTGAGCGGTTTACTTGCTCCTCCTGCACCAAATACACGACGCATAACACGCTCATTGCTCATGTGGTGTTCCCACTAGAAATGAGACAAACGTAATTAGCGTCTTAAAAACTGTCGGTCTGACAGGTCAGATTTGGCAACCGTACAGGAGGGTTGACTGTAGTGTAAACGCTGCCCTTAATGACGAGAGTGATGTCGCGCTGACGCCACAGATGGGGGAGATTGGCAAAAGCCCAAGGGGCTTTGCTATATGCTTTGTGATCTTATCTTATATTCCACCGGCCGTAATATAGCTGCCCAGGTACTTGAATTCCTGAACGACTAGTAGCTGATCACTACCAAAGGTCAGCGCAGGAGTGGGTCTCTGATAACCTTGGAGAAGGACTTTGCATTTCTAGCGTACCAAGCATAGCCCGAAGCGATTGACAGCCAGAAGTAATCCAGTGCTCCTTGGCAAGTTCGGGAGTTGTCAAAGTCGAGGGCAATGTCGTCCGCATACCCATGTCAAGAATTCGCGCACCTGAAAGCAGTTCCACACCTTCAGTGAATGTCATTTTCACTTCATCGATGGCGAAGTTAAAGAGGAAAGGTGACGGCGGCCAATCACACAGTGTGGAGATTTTGTAGGGCGGTGACAGCTTGCCATAAGCCATCAATTTGCCCGAACTATGCGCGTACAGTATTCCGATAATGTTTACGTAGTTCTCGGGTACACCTTTCTTGAGTAGACAATCCAAAAGTTTACATCGATTTACCAACTCGAAGGTACCTTTTAACACGACTACGGTGGGTCGCCAATAAACATGGCGGTTCCAACAACTGATGTAAGGTGAAGATATGGTCAATATAGACTCGATTTCGGAGAAATCCGACTTGCCATCCGCGAATTTAACTTTTACGAGTGTCAATTAATTTATGGAGCACGACAGATGCAAGCAACTTAGAGGCTATTGAATGTAGACTGATTCAACTCTGCTTGCCGCATCCGGAAAGTGAGCCACATTTGAAATTTGGGACTAAAATGGAGCGGCTCCAGTCTGTTGGGACAGTCTCCTGCACCCACAACTTCACCAGGAAGTTGCGGAATTCATCTGAAAGAGCAGTTCTCGGAATTTGTAGAGAGCTGGAGGAAGTCTATTTGCTCCTGTGGCTTTGTTCACTTTAAACCATCTACTTTCACGTTCGACTTCTGCGCGTCAGGGCGGATCCAAGGGGACAGCCCATGGAGGGTGTCGATCAATGGCCGATAAAGAAGAAGAAAACAATGGTTGATTAAACCGCTTTTCAGTGCTCGGCCAGTGTTCAGGCTATCGCGGGACATGCACTTAACGTTCTGCAAATTAAAATACGAAACGTAAACTGGGGAATATGGAGGCGGTTGCTAAAAACAGGGAGGTTGTAAAAGTGGTGCGATGGTTCGGCTATCTTTATAAGCAGATGGCTAATCTTCGAACAGGACTTCTCCGTTTGTATTTCCACACTAAGCTTGATGGCGAATAAATGGAAAACAATTGCTCGCTTTACGCGTTATATTTGTGCTTCATGTAGGGAGAGAGAAAAGGTACGTAGTTTAGATGAAATTAAACGACGCAAACGTACCCAAAAGCTCAAAGAAATCGATCAGAACATGAATTTTGCGAAATTTGCGGAAACGTAGATATTCATCGACTCTGCATTCTGGAAACATGGTGGAGACACCATAATCACTCTAGAATAAACAGCTTGAGACGTCATGCGCTTAACATTATAGACTCAGTGAAATCTAACGCAGCTGAGACTGAACAGTATATCGCATAGGGAAAATCCGCAATGGATGTCCACTACGGTGATGAATGAGTCTATTTTCTGAAGTATATGCGCAACGTGACTTCCAAGCGAATACCCAAGAAAAGATTTATGGTACAAAAGACGTTGAACATAATGAAAGGTCTAACCCAATGACCATTAAATCGTGATGGACGTGCAAAACCTATTTCATCCGCAGATTGATGGGACGTAAAGCATTCTGAACAGACCTCACCGCACCGGATTGCATATTGACCATATGCCAACATACACACAGGCAAGTCAGCTGACAACATAAAGTGACAGTGTTAGACAGACAGCCTCAACCACATGGATTGCAATTTAGTCATGTGGGTGAGTTCAGTTCATGACCGGTGCCTCACGGTGGCGTTGGACGTGTTGGCACATGATCGACGGACGTAACTTTTCCCAGCTCGAAGACGCATTGTTCGTTTGGCCCACATGAACGAAGTGCAGGATTCACGCATTAGCGCACTACTTCCTTGCACGGCCCCAGACATGATTCCAGCGACCCGACAGCACATCCATCGGTATCCAGTGGAAGGAATTGTGCTAATCCATCATTCCTACACACGGTTAATGTGTCCAAGGAAGGAAAACGGTCCGATGGTCACATCGTACAGTACACTGCTTCTCATTTTTGCTACCACTGCACGTTGCTAGTTTGGATAGTTCTGTCTCGTATCCAACACATTCACTGACACCCCCGGAAGAAAATTCCTACTCACGTCTGACACGCATGACCGTTACGTAATATGTTAACTCATTGCATCAATTTGTAGGCGTAGTACAAGTCCGAACATGGCGTCCGCTGAAGATAAACCGCCTGGTGCATCGGTGATAGTTGTTGCCAGATAACACGAATAACAGTATGATTTCTTCGGTCGGTCGAAGGAATTCACGAAACAGTCCATTTGGCTGATGAATCGGGGATGTCCAGGGGGATCAGGAGTGCTTGATGTCACGCCACTGACAGAAACTAATAATTTCTTCGGATGAATTATTCACGCATTCATTATGCACGTTAGCTGAAGGTGGAAAACATCGTGGATATCGTGCCGCAACACAAAAGAAAAGAATGAAAGAGGCACGCCGGCTGAGTCAACAGTAACGGATGGACATCGTACTGGAGAGCTAACAGCCGGCTATGGTGTCGCAAAAAGGAGTTATATTATGCCTAACAAAAGAGATCGTGGTTGGAGGAGGAGGCTAAACGGGAGAGCGATGGACGAAGTGATACATAACACAAACGCCATTGAAATCGGCTCTTAGTTATGTCAACAAGTGTATCCAGCCAAATGTGTTCATCGCCTTTCGATTCCCAACGAGGGAGCCTAGGGGTTCGAATCGAGGCCAGCTTCGAAATGTGGGTCTTGATACCATCTTCCATCTGCAATCCCGGCGCGCAAACAACGCACGTCGCGGGACTCGGTGGGCTGGCATGCGCAACACGTGGCACGGCCATCGGAGCCTGGTGGGTGAAAT